TTTCTCAAAACATTTTCTCTCCATTTAAACCCCCGACATTAGGTAGCTTTCCACTTTCTTAAAAGCATCTTCATAATAGCCCTCCCCACCCCTGACCATCCTGTGTCCTTTGAAGAAATCTATCAGGATGGCACCTTTGAGACACCCCCCAGTCGCCATAACATGCTGAGCTGCCGTCTCTGCCTGGAATTTCTCGGGCTCAGTAGATCCCCTTAGATCCCATTAGTTTGATTGGATCTTTTTTTTTTTTAATAGGAACCCTAATGGGACTACAGGGTCCTGGTGGCCCCACAGTGCGCGTTGGGCTGCTAACTACAAGGTCAGCAGTTTGAATCCACCCGCCACTCCGAGGGAGAAAGATGGGGCTTTCTACTCCCGTCAAGAGCTACAGTTCCACCCTGTCCTACGTGGTCGCTGGGAGTGGCGTTGGCGTGGACTCCGTGGTGATGAGCTTGAGTCTAACGAGCCTCACCCAAGTGTACGGTGGAGAGAACTGGTCTGCCGCCGTCCTCTGAACACGGAGATACGTCTGCTGTTGTGGTTGTCAGAGGCCACCAAGTTGGTTCAGACTCACAGCGACCCAGGGCAGAACAGAAGGGACCACTGCCTGTTCCTGCCCCACCCTCCTCACTCTGATGCCGCTGCGTGCGTGCGTCCATCGCCTGGTGGGCCTTGTCTTTTTCAATCTCTTTCTCCTTCACCAGGCATGGTATCCTTCTGTGGGGCCTGGTCTAGGGACTCTTCTGCCCCAAGTCTGTAAGACGAAGGCTGGCCATCCTCGCTTCTCACGAACACTCGGGCCGTACTTCTTCCAAGACAGACTGGTTTGTTCTTCTAACAGGCCACAGGTACTTTTCAATATTCTTCTCCAGCACCACGAGGCAAATGCATGGGTTTGTCTCCGATCTTCCTTATCCAATGTCCAACTTTCACATGCATACGAGGCCACCGAAAATACCACGGCCGCCTCTTTCTCCCACTGTGGCATCCCATTCCTGGGCTGTCGCCCACGGGGAAAGCTAGCACGCTCCACACCCCGGTGGGTTGTGGGCATCCAGAGAGGAGCCGAGCTCACAAACACACACTGCAGCCAAGAGTGAAGTCAGTTTTACGAGCGCATCGAGTCCTTTGAAATGAAATACAATGAGATGGGTCCCGCTCACGGGTTGAGAAGGGCGACCTTAAGCATAGATAAGATATACCTCACTCCAGGAGTGAAGTGCGGTCCCCCCTCAGGAGCTCGGAGGAGGATGCTGCCTGGGGGAGCATTTCTAGGTCTCACACGGTGCTTTCAAATGGGAGGGGTCGCCCTCTGCAGAGGGTCAAGCAACTTTCTAGTGACTCAGTCCATCCATGGGTCTCTGGCACCATGTCTCTCCGTTGCATCTGGGTCGCTACTCTGGGTCAGCACGTCTCAGGATGCTCTCTGAGACCCGACCTGCGTCAGCATGTTCAGCAGGCGTGGCTTCAAGGTTCAGGTGTCTGCCAAGCCGGTTCTCACGGAGTTCTTTGTCCATCATTTGTTTCAACGGGCCCTTTGTTCATCCCTTTGGCAGGCAGGGCAGAAGCCCCTGTGCCGTCCTTGTCAGTTACCACAAACTCCCAGGGTTCCCAAGAGTCGGCCTCGGCTTCTTCTCCAAGCCAGCGAGTTTGTTGTTTGTTTGTTGTTTGTTTCGGTCTTCAAGGAGCCCCAGAAAAGGTTGGTTGATTTGAAGCCACCAGCCAACCAGGGGACCACCTGCTTCTGTGAGGATGGACAGCCTTGTGGTCGCTTCCACTCTGTCAGACAGAGTCATGCTGAGTCAGAATCAGAGTTGCAGCCACGGGGGTGGCTCTTCGGGTCTTCAGGCCCTCTGCACAGCTGGAGGACGGGGAAGGACTGGGGTACACAAGTGACAAGATGGTCAGACCCTAGATGGCAGACAAGATGACAGCCTAATCTTGGTCTTCCTTGAGTTGGCTTGACCTTGTCTTTGGGCTCTCCCTTTGGGAACCAATCCACTATTCTTATCAGCAGGGATTGGGCCCTACTTAGGGTGGGACAGACTATAGGGTCTGATTTCTCTAGATGGCTGATAACCCTCAGGGAGATGACCTCTAAGCAGTTGACCTCCAAGTATGCAGAAATTGGCCATGTGTTCTTAGGTCTGGCATATATTATGGGGAGTCAACCTGAGGAAGGCCCTTTCGTTATCCCACAAGACATGTACGTTCCCCCTCCACAAGGTCTCCATGACATTAGCGTTCCCCTAAAAAAAAGTGCCCCTAGAACATGAGTGACGTTCCACAGAAGAGTGGGTCTAACACAGGCCACCAAATAGCCCCCAAGATTCCTGGGTGTGGCTGCAGCTCCTGGGTCTACCATCTGTCGTGGTGACACTTCAAGATCCAGCTCTCAGGAGCCCCTTGTCATCTCGGTGACCTTCCGTGCCCCAACTGTACCAAGGGAGTTGGGACTGGAGCCCCTCTCAGCCTCACCCCCCTCCAAGCTTTGATTTCCGAGTTCCGCTTCAGTGGTGGCCACAGCCCTCTTTCACCCACATGCTTCCTGTTGGGGCTTCCTCGGCCCCTCCTCACATTCAGGGCATTCACTTCCCCCGAGGGAAGGGCTGGGCTCCGCTGTGGACACAAGTATGCTGCTGTGGCTGCTGCTGCTCCTGCTGTGGGGGGGTGAGTGGGCTGAGGGACGAGACAAGGGGGTGGGGTCCCAGCTGGGGCTGCAGCTGATTCTCTGTGTCTCTCAGGGTCCCTGCAGGAGGATAGAGGGTATGCGCTGCAGGTGCAGAAGGATGTGACGGTGCAGGAGGGCCTGTGTGTCACTGTTCCCTGCAAGTTCATCTACCCCAGGGAACCATACTATGATCGTGCCTCACTCTACATCTTCTGGTTTGAGCACGGGGACAGTATATATGACCCTCCGGTGGCCACCAACCATCCAACCCGAGCAGTGAAGACATGGACAAAGGGCCGGTTCCAGCTCATCGGAGACCCCCGGGCCAATGACTGCTCCCTGAGCATCAGAGGTGCCCGCAGGAGTGACGCAGGGGCCTACACTTTCCGGGTGGAGCGAGGACATGTGAAATATACCTACGCAGACAGTTGGCTGACTGTGCTGGTGACAGGTATGAAGGGGCCCCGGGAGGGGTGCTGGCAGGAGGGAGTGTCAGTGTTGGCAGAGGGAGGTGACGATCATCCCTGCTCCTGCTCAGGGGGCTGGGTGGTCAGAGGATCCAGGGCCAGCTTGCCTGCTGGGACCCTGGTCACTGTCAGACCACTCACTCTGGGTTCCCATCCCACTGGGGCCCAGACACCTCCCTCTCTCCTCCTCCTCAGACCTCACAGAGAAACCCCACATCCACATTCTGCAACCTCTGGAGTCCGGACACCCCGCGAACCTGACCTGCAGCGTGTCAGGGTCCTGTGAGGGGGCCAGACCCCTGGCCTTCTCGTGGGTGGGGGAAGCCCTTAATGAGATGGACCCTACAACACGCCAGTCCCCGGTGCTCACCTTCACCCCGAGGCCCCAGGACCACGGCACCAACCTCACCTGTCGGGTGAAACAAAACGAGT